GGGGGCGAGGAGGACGGAAGGACCGGCGGATGCGGGCGGGATGCCAGCCAAAAAACTAGAACCCCACACAGAGATGTGGGGAAAAAAAAGTGAGAGTGAGAGACCTTTTGGACCTGTTTCTTTCTTCAGCGTCTAAGGGTCGGTCTGCCACTCCAACTGAACGGCTGGAGACCTGTAGCCTCAAATCACGGACTCGCGAGTGCTGCAAGAATGCAGAGAGAGAAGGACAATGAGGAAGGACAATTTGCGTTCTTTTCCTCTCGGATCTCAGAATTTCTAGATCTTTTCTATCTTTCGTCTAGCAATGTAAGTTTACCTGAGCCGTCAGCTGCACCCTTCGGCAGATCGGACCTTCCGACTTCTTTGGCGAGGGTGGCCTGAAATCCACCGACCGTTCATGACCGGTGTCAGCTTAGTGGAAAAGCTGAAAAGGGCTTTTGACTGAAGAGAAGGCTGAAAGGCTGAAAGATACTGAAAGCGATGACCTCCAACCTACTTAGCGATGGCCTCCGCGCTACTAATGGAAGGCTGAACAGCGGAAAGCAATGCTTTTTGAAGGCCTTGGTACGTCTGGCACATCATTGCGGTCTGCGACCACGGACATGGCATCTGCCTCAGATCGCTCTCCCTCATATACTGATTCTTGAGCACACTACCTGCATGATAGGCATGAACTAGAGTATGTTGAACAAACTGCAGCACAGCCTGATTGGAGAAGTCCTTTTATGTTGGGTGGAGTCAGGTCGTATTCTTGAGAAAACTAATAAACTATACTCGATATGGACATCTCTTCTTTCACCAAATGGAGTCAGTTTTCTCTCTTCCGTTTAAAGCTCCAGGCCAGTTCATCCATGCGCTCTAGCAGGGAGTTGGCCTCCACTGAAGCAATCGGTGTTTAAACGCTTGCCTAGCTTTGTACATAAAGACTGGGCATCTGCTTTGCATGTTGCAGCTCGACCTGTTCCCGTGTCATTCCGCGGGCCAAGGTTCCTTGTCCATTGGCCTGCAAAAATGCTACCCATCATGATCCGATTGTTTGATGGAATTGCTCAAAGGACAAACACTCACCATGGACCATGTGCCTCCAAGCTGGTTTTGAAAGCTTCTTGAAGCTCGGAACGGTCCTGTCGTGGAAGCACGGTGTTGATGTTCAACAGCGCAAAAAGCGACACCGTCCTTCCATCCCAGTGCACTCCACGTGCCATCAGGACCTGAAACCCCGTGGAACAAAATGTTAAAACCCACTAGCGCCAAACTACTAGCGATGTGGCCTCCAACCTACTGACGATGGCCTCCAACCTACTAGCGATGTCCTCCAACCTACTACCGATGGCCTCCAACCAACGAATGATGGCCTCCAACCTAGTAGCGATGGCCTCCAACCCAATAGCAATGGCCACCAACCTAATAGCAATGGCCACCATCCTATAGCAATGGCCTCCATTCTAATAGGGATGGCCTCCA